ATTAGGTCAATTTTCTCCCAGGATGCGACCCACACAAGTCGACTAACGCCCAGGTACTCATTTTATTGATGGGTGAACATGGACAGTAGGTGTCTTATGGAAGCACGTATTAATGTTTTTCAACTCTACCGGAGATTCGAACCCCGGACCCCAGCGTGAGAGCTGAATAAACTAGCGATCGAGCTACATATACCTGGATTATTCCTGGAGAGGGTTTCGGAGGTCAACGTCCCCGCGGCTCGGTCAGAGACCAGGCCTCGTGGTGGATCACGGACTGATCAACCAGGCTGTTACTGCTGGTTACATGTAAAATGACTTACGAATTGTAGCCCGGCTGGTCAGGTGGAAACATAAACACATATGCAGTTTAATGCGATCCTTTATTGGCTGGTCAGGTACTGACTTTTGGTGTCTGTCCAGCGCCTTCTTGAAGACAGCCAGGGGTAACAGTTTGGTAATAGAGTTGTGGATGAGTGGAACACACTCCCGAACACAGACTAAAACATTGTGTAGTTTTAAAAATAGGTTAGATAAATACATGAGTAGGTGCTGGTGGGTGTGAGTTGGACGTGACTACCTTGAGCTACGAGGTCAGATGCCGTGCTCCATCCTTAAGTGAATGTGACCTGACCTCACTAGGTTGGGGCATTGGCTTAAGCCGGTAGGAGACTTGGACCTGCCTCGCATGGGCCAATAGGCCTGTTGCAGTGTTCCTTCCTTCTTATGTTCTTATTTTTAATCCCCCTTATGTATGCTGGGAGGCAGGCGAACAGTCTTGGGCCCCTGGCACTGTGTTGTCTCTCAGTGTGCTCGTGGCGCCCCTGATTTTCATTGAGGGAATGTTGCATTTCCTGCTGCGTCTTTTGCTTTCATAGGGAGTGATTTTTTTACCATTCCCTCTAGGATTTTCCAAGTGTATATTATCATGTATCTCTCTCGGCAACACCACAACCACTACCACCACAACTACCTCCATCACTATCACTACAACAACCAACACCACAAAAACTACCACCACAACCACCACCACAACCACCACAACCACCACAATCATCACCACCACACCCATCACCAACACAACCACCATCGCCGCAACCACCCCACCACAACCACCATCACAATCACCACCACCACCAACACAACCACTACCAACACTACCACCTCTGTATGTAAAGTAAAAGGACACAAGTGCAACTAATGTGACATTTATTGTGGCAACGTTTCGCTCTCCAGGAGCTTTATCAAGCTTGATAAAGCTCCTGGAGAGCGAAACGTTGCCACAATAAATGTCACATTAGTTGCACTTGTGTCCTTTTACTTTACATATTGTCGGTAATTCTACCAACTTTATTACACTACCACCTCTACAACAACCACCAACACCACTACCACTAAACCACCGCACCCACCACCACCACAATCACCACCACCACCAACACAACCACCACTACAATCACAACCACCTCAACCACTACCACTACAAAAACATAATATTTGTAGCCTCCTACTCAAGCACGAACATATAACAAAGGTCAACACAGTGTTTATAGCAGAGAACAATACAATGTGCACAACAAATATCAATACAATGTCTATAACAAAGAATAATACAGATCATTGTAAATCAGAACATAAGAACATAAGAAAGAAGGAACACTGCAACAGGCCTACTGGCCTATGCGAGGCAGCTCCAATTCTCCCACCGGCCCATGCCTTGACCTAGTGAGGTCAGACACGTCACTTAAGGGAGGAGCACTGCATCCCACCTAGTAGCACAAGCTAGTCAGGTCCAACTCACACCCACTGGCACCCACTCATGTATTTCTCCAACTTATTTTTAAAACTACACAACGTCTTAGCTTCAATGACGGTACTCGGGAGTTCGTTCCACTCATCCACAACTCTATTACCAAACCAGTGCTTTCCTATATCCTTCCTCAATCTGAATTTTTTTTCTATTTAAAGCCGTTGCTGGGAGTCCTGTCTATGTTACATATTTTTAGCACTCTGTTTACATCCCCTTTATTAATTCTGTTTTCCATTTACACCTCAATCATATACCCCCTAATTCTACGCCTATCTAGAGAGTGCAGATTCAGGGCCTCAGTCTATCCTCATAAGGAAGATTTCTGATACATGGGATCAACTTTGTCATCCTCCTTTGTAAGTTTTCCAATGCATTTATATCCATTCTGTAATATGGTGACCAAAACTGCAGCATAATCTAAATGAGGCCTAACCAAAGATATATAGAGCTGAAGAACAACCTGAAGACTTCTATTACTTATACTTCTTGCTATGAAGCCAAGGATTCTGTTAGCTTTATTGTGAACACTAATGCATTGTTGTCTTTCTTTTAGATTACTGCTAACCAGAACTCCTATATCCTTTTCGCAATCCGTAATATTAAGATCTACATTATTTAGTTTATATGTGGCATGGTTATTTTCCTGTTAAACATTTAGAACTTTGCATCCGCCACTTCTCCGACCACTGCATC